GTCACATCCACACTGACTTCACCTCCGACAGCGTCCGGTGAGTCCAGATCCTGGCCGGTTTTGGTGCTGAGGAAAGTAGTTCGGCAAGTTGTTCTGGGGACAGAATAATAAAGTGTTTTTCTTCTTAAAACAACATGTGTTAAAAAGAGTGAAACATTTGCATCACAAAACCTTCGTCCTCTAAAAAGTCAGCCTCATAATCACTTGGCACTATTTTCTCTCCGTTCGTATCACTGCGCCTGTTTCACTTTGTTTACTGCTCGGAATGTCAGCAACAAACATGTTTAACTACGACACCGATAATGAAGAAATAGATTTTAGCACAGAGCCAATGGGAGATCTTTTTGAACCCGAATATACCAATGACGAAATTCGCCAGAGAGAGAGAAGAGGCGAATATTCCGAGCAGTAAACAAAGTGAAACAGCGGCAGTGATACGTACGGAGAGAAAATAGTGCCACGTGATTATGAGGTCTGACTTTTTAGAGGACGGAGGTTTTGTGGTGCAAATGTTTCACTCTTTTTAACACATGTTGTTTTGAGAAGAAAAACACTTTATTATTCTGTCCCCAGCACAACTGCGCCGAACTACTTTCCTCAGCACCAAAACCGGCCAGGATCTGGAACTCACCGGACGCTGTCGGAGGTAAAGTCAGTGTGGATGTGACACTGCTGACGGGACGACACACAGATTCATGTCAAAAAACCTGAACTGTCCCTTTAATAATGAATTATTATAAATAAAGTGGAACTGGCTCCATGTTCTCCCCTGTATCTTCAGCCTCAGTGAGCTTCATTTGACTGGAATGGATCCTAAAGTGTTTTCAGAAAGTCTCAGATGAAAATGGAGAAAACTGCTTCTGCACTTTTCTTAAACTGAACTTCAAATGAAACGGAAACCAAACAAAAACCAAACGAAAACCAAACGAAAACCAAACGAAAACCAACGCTTCTTTACGCTTTTCTATTAGCCTGTTAGCATGTAGCCCGTTAGCATGTAGCCCGTTAGCATGTAGCCCTGTTAGCATGTAGCGCGTTAGCATGTAGCTCGTTAGCATGTAGCGCGTTAGCATGTAGCCTGTTAGCATGTAGCGCGTTAGCATGTAGCCTGTTAGCATGTAGCCTGTTAGCATGTAGCCTGTTAGCATGTAGCGCGTTAGCATGTAGCCTGTTAGCATGTAGCCTGTGGACGCTGCCTCTGTGGATGTCGTTTCTAAAGTTCGTAGAAAAATCAAATCTCGTCCACAGACATTTGCACCACGTCTGTGCTCGTTCACCTCGTGTTTACGTTCAGGATTTGATTTTAAATCGATCATTTCAAACACTGACAAGTCAACGCCGTAAAAACTTTATTTTTGATGCCGTGTTCTGCTAAATCTGCCTTTTTATTTGTTTTGTTTTTGTTTTGTTGTTTCTTTCTCCCAAATTCTAACACGTCTGGAGAGGTTTTACAGTCGTACATGCAGGTTTGAGTCATCTAGCGATCTCTCCTTACGGTTAGCAGTAGTTGGGATAGCGCTCTGAAGGGGGAGTGAGTTAGCACAGAGAGAAAAGTACATGTTAACACGTCTTTTGTTTGTGGAAGTAAAACGTCGCTGAACTCGTTTGTTTACAAAGTTAGCCTGGCCGCCATTTTGTGAACGCTAATCCCCAGAGCTAACGTGTTTCCCCATGTGTGTGTGTGTGTTTGACAGAACTGTGCTAACGGCGCTAACGGCGGCTACAGCGTCGCCGGACGTCACTCAGTGTCTGTGGAAGTTCAACTGCAGCGACAACGACAAGACGAGAGGCAGTACAGCTCCCTGCCCAGGTACTACTACTGCAAATACTACAAATACTACTACAAATACTACTGCAAATACTACAGAGACAAGACGAGAGGCAGTACAGCTCCCTGCCCAGGTACTACTACTGCAAATACTACAAATACTACTGCAAATACTACTACAAATACTACAGAGACAAGACGAGAGGCAGTACAGCTCCCTGCCCAGGTACTACTACTGCAAATACTACAAATACTACTACAAATACTACAACAAATACTACAGAGACAAGACGAGAGGCAGTACAGCTCCCTGCCCAGGTACTACTACTGCAAATACTACAAATACTACTACAAATACTACTACAAATACTACAGAGACACAAGACGAGAGGCAGTACAGCTCCCTGCCCAGGTACTACTACTGCAAATACTACAAATACTACTGCAAATACTACAGAGACAAGACGAGAGGCAGTACAGCTCCCTGCCCAGGTACTACTACTGCAAATACTACAAATACTACTGCAAATACTACTACAAATACTACAGAGACAAGACGAGAGGCAGTACAGCTCCCTGCCCAGGTACTACTACTGCAAATACTACAAATACTACAACAAATACTACAACAAATACTACAGAGACAAGACGAGAGGCAGTACAGCTCCCTGCCCAGGTACTACTACTGCAAATACTACAAATACTACTGCAAATACTACTGCAAATATTACAAATACTACTGCAAATACTACTGCAAATATTACAAATACTACTACTACTGCAAATACTACAAATACTACTACAAATACTACTACAAATACTACAGAGACAAGACGAGAGGCAGTACAGCTCCCTGCCCAGGTACTACTACTGCAAATACTACAAATACTACTGCAAATACTACAGAGACAAGACGAGAGGCAGTACAGATCACTACTACTACTACTACTACTACTTCAAATACTCAGCTACTGCTAGTATAGACCTGCTCCAGGTTCAGATCTGGACCTGGTCTGGATCCAGGTCCAGGTCCTCCTGGTCCAGGTCCAGGTCCAGGTCCAGACTCAGACCTGGAGGACGTGTTTATCAGTGATGTGTCGTTGTGTTTCCTGTTTCAGACTCAAACCAGATCAAACTCGTTTATCTGCACATCTCCACACGCTCTGCTCCCTCCATCCCTCTCTCTCTCTCTCTCTCTCTCTCTCTCTCTCTCTCTCTCTCTCTCTCTCTCTCTCTCTCTCTCTCTCTCCATCCCTCTCTCTCTCTCTCCATCCCTCTCTCTCTCTCTCTCTCTCTCCATCCCTCTCTCTCTCTCTCTCTCTCCATCCTCTCTCTCTCTCTCTCTCTCCATCCCTCTCTCTCTCTCTCTCTCTCTCTCTCTCTCTCCATCCCTCTCTCTCTCTCTCTTTCTTCCTGATCACATGAGTTCTTTTCTTTCCTGTTCTTTTATAATTTCATAAACTCTGTGACATGTTTGTGTCGAACAGACCGAACTGACCGACACAAACTGTAAACAAGTGTGTGTGAGTTCCAGAGGAGTTTCAGTGTAGTTCCAGTGTAGTTCCAGTGTAGTTCCAGTGTAGTTCCAGTGTAGTTTCCAGTAGTTCCAGTGTAGTTCCAGTGTAGTTCCAGTGTAGAGTGTAGTTTCCAGTGTAGTTCCAGTGTAGTTCCAGTGTAGTTCCAGTGTAGTTTCCAGTGTAGTTCCAGTGTAGTTTCAGTGTAGTGTAGTTCAGTGTAGTTCCAGTGTAGTTTCAGTAGTTCAGTGTAGTTCCAGTGTAGTTCAGTGTAGTTCAGTGTAGTTCCAGTGTAGTTCCAGTGTAGTTTCAGTGTAGTTCCAGTGTAGTTTCAGTGTAGTTCCAGTGTAGTTCCAGTGTAGTTTCAGTGTAGTTTCAGTGTAGTTCCAGTGTAGTTCCAGTGTAGTTCCAGTGTAGTTCCAGTGTAGTTCCAGTGTAGTTTCAGTGTAGTTCCAGTGTAGTTCCAGTGTAGTTCCAGTGTAGTTCCAGTGTAGTTTCCAGTGTAGTTCCAGTGTAGTTCCAGTGTAGTTCCAGTGTAGTTTCAGTGTAGTTTCAGTGTAGTTCCAGTGTAGTTCCAGTGTAGTTCCAGTGTAGTTTCAGTGTAGTTTCAGTGTAGTTTCAGTGTAGTTCCAGTGTAGTTCCAGTGTAGTTTCAGTGTAGTTTCAGTGTAGTTCCAGTGTAGTTCCAGTGTAGTTTCAGTGTAGTTTCAGTGTAGTTCCAGTGTAGTTTCAGTGTAGTTTCAGTGTAGTTTCAGTGTAGTTCCAGTGTAGTTTAGTCAGTAGTTTCAGTGTAGTTCCAGTGTAGTTTCAGTGTAGTGTAGTTTCAGTGTAGTTTCAGTGTAGTTCAGTGTAGTTAGCTCCTCCTGCAGATATAAGGAAGAGTCACCAGCGTCTGACCAGAAGTGAAGCAGCAGTTTGGACGAACTGAGAAACGTCTTCAACCAAACTCACTTCTGTCCAGTCGACAAACTGAACTTTCTCCTCGTGGATTCAACCTGAACGACTCAGTGATTCTTCTTTTGTGTTTGTGAAATGAATTGTGTCAGATGCCCTCCCCCTGTGTGTGTCATTTATATTTTAAAACCTGAATAAAACCTTTAAACTTCCTCTTCTTCTCTTCTTCTCCTCTTCTTCTCTTCTCTCCTCTTCTTCTCTTCTTCTCTTCTTCTTCTCTTCTTCTCTTCTTCTCCTCTTCTTCTCTTCTCTTCTTCTCCTCTTCTTCTTCTCTTCTTCTTTCAGGCAGCCTCGGCGTCGTGAGCTCAGTTCTGTTTCTCAGGACGGTTGTTGGTCGAGTGTTTTTCCCGGAGACTCGTTCCAGTCGGCGAAAGAAAATCCTCGTTATTCTTCGTACCAGGGCCCCCGGAGCGCCGCCGCCGCCGCCGCCGCCGGGCTCCACGCCGCCGCCAGGGCCAACGGGCACCAGCGCGGCAACGGGTACGCGGGAGGGGGCGTGTCTGCGGCGGTGGTGGGCGGAGCCGTGAACGCCCGCGTGCTGATCGAGGCTCAGGAGCTGCTGAGGCAGGAGCAGCGGCGCCGCGAGCAGGAGCTCGTCGCCGCCGCCGCCGCCGCGTCCAACCCGGCGTCACCCAAAGGTCCGTTCAGGCAGGACGTCCCGCCTTCGCCCTCGCAGCTCGTCAGACTCACGCGGCTCGGCTCCGAGAAGGGACGACCGTTTTACTCCTGAGGCTCGACGAAGAACGAAGAACGAAGAGCGAAGAACGAAGAAGCGAAGAACGAAGAAGAACGAACGAAGAACGAAGAGCGAAGAACGAAGAACGAAAGAAGCGACAAACGAGGAACGTCCAGGAGGAGACGAGCAGAAACAGTCCAGATCACAAAACCAAACCTTTAGAAAAACACAAACTTTTACACGAAACATTAACTTTTTTGATGTTTTTTGAGATCAGGTGCAGTAATGTTCCACACTACGGCATTAAAGAAGTTTGTTATTTTGTTGTTGTTTTTTTATCTTTCACTCATGTTCTAAAGATGTTCCTCATCACAAACCTGCCTGAAGAGGTTTGAGTCATCTAGAGATCTATTCAAACCCTCCTCACGGTTAGCAGGACTAAACCAGGACTAAACCAGGACTAAACCAGGACTAAACCAGGACTAAACCAGGACTAAACCAGGACTAAACCAGGACTAACCAACTAAACCAGGACTAAACCAGGACTAAACCAGGACTAAACCAGGACTAAAACTAAACCAGGACTAAACCAGAACTAAACCAGGACTAAACCAGGACTAAACCAGGACTAAACCAGGACTAAATCAGGACTAAACCAGGACTAAACCAGGACTAAACCAGGACTAAACCAGGACTAAACCAGGACTAAACCAGGACTAAACCAGGACTAAACCAGGACTAAACCAGGACTAAATCAGGACTAAACCAGGACTAAACCAGGACTAAACTAAACCAGGACTAAATTAGGTCTAAACCAGGACTAAACCAGGACTAAACCAGAACTAAACCAGGACTAAATTAGGTCTAAACCAGGACTAAACCAGGACTAAATCAGGTCTAAACCAGGACTAAACCAGGACTAAACCAGGAACTAAACCAGGACTAAATTAGGTCTAAACCAGGACTAAACCAGGACTAAACCAGGACTAAATCAGGACTAAATCAGGACTAAACCAGGACTAAACCAGGACTAAACCAGATCTAAACCAGGACTAAATTAGGTCTAAACCAGGACTAAACCAGAACTAAACCAGGACTAAATTAGGTCTAAACCAGAACTAAACCAGGACTAAATTAGGTCTAAACCAGAACTAAACCAGGACTAAATCAGGTCTAAACCAGGACTAAACCAGGACTAAACCAGAACTAAACCAGGACTAAATTAGGTCTAAACCAGGACTAAACCAGGACTAAATCCGGTCTAAACCAGGACTAAATCGGGTCTAAACCAGGACTAAACCAGGACTAAACCTCCTAAAGAGGTTCTAGACTCATCCGTGCATGTTTGAGTCATCTAGTGATCTCCTCTTTACGGTTCGCTGCAGTACGAGTCTGTACGAGGCTCCGCCCCCCCACATGTTCCCACACGACACAAAACTGACCCCAGCGACTGGACCAACCTGACATGTGACGCGCAGGAGTGTGTTCGACAGCGCTCTGAAGGGGGAGCGACTTAGAGTGGAGAGCAGGAGGAGAGTGAAGCTTTTAAAACAAAATAAAATCCAGTGTTTTGTTTGATTACGACTTTTTCAAAACTGTGATTTAAATATGTGACGTGTTCCAGTGAACAACAGGACAGAGTTTAATGCCGCACTGTGGAACCTTCATAAAGCCCCACACACACTACAGGACAACGAGCCTCATTCTGTCAGGAGACGAGACCCGACTTTGTGCGACGCTACGAAAACAAACAACAGAACCGAGCGTCAGGACAGAAGAGACGAACACGGACGCAAAACACAAACTCAGGAAATAACAAAATAATGTTCAGATTTTATTCCTCAACTCTCGTAAAGTGTTAAATTTAAACTCCAGCGTCTCATCCACATTCTCCACAGAAGTTATCCTCCACAAATAATGAGTCCAGTCACAAAACGTCTGTGACTCCAGTTTTTTTGTGTAGTAAGAAAGTCTCCGCGATCGGAGATTTTAAGTCTTCGCGATCGAGATTTTAAGTCTTCGCGATCGAAGATTTTAAGTCTTCCTGATCAAAGATTTTAAGTCTTTGCGATCGGAGATTTTAAGTCTGTGCGATCGGAGATTTTAAGTCTTCGTGATCGGAGATTTTAAGTCTGTGCGATCGGAGATTTTAAGTCTCCGTGATCGGAGATTTTAAGTCTTCGCGAATGAAGATTTTAAGTCTGTGCGATCGAAGATTTTAAGTCTTCGCGAACGAAGATTTTAAGTCTGTGCGATCGGAGATTTTAAGTCTTCGTGATCAAAGATTTTAAGTCTTCATGATCGAAGATTTTAAGTCTCCGCGATCAGAGATTTTAAGTGTTCGTGATCGGAGATTTTAAGTCTGTGCGATCGGAGATTTTAAGTCTTCGATCGAAGATTTTAAGTCTCCGCGATCAGAGATTTTAAGTCTTCGAGATCGGAGATTTTAAGTCTTTGCGATCGAAGATTTTAAGTCTCCGCGATCAGAGATTTTAAGTGTTCGAGATCGGAGATTTTAAGTCTTTGCGATCGGAGATTTTAAGTCTCCGCGATCGAAGATTTTAAGTCTGTGCGATCGGAGATTTTAAGTGTTCGTGATCAAAGATTTTAAGTCTTCGTGATCAGAGATTTTAAGTCTTCGCGAACGAAAATTTTAAGTCTGTGCGATCGGAGATTTTAAGTCTGTGCGATTCTCCTCGTGTCTGTGCTCTGTCCTTTGACGCACTTTTAAAAATCGTTTAAGACTGAAAAATCCTGTAGTGTGTGACGCCTTGAGGTGATGAATCCAACTTCTGCAGATTCACACACGAGGACGGGACGGAATCTTTTTTTATTTTTTCAAGCCAAATTATTTGAGTAGAGTTTTTTGGGCGGGTGTTTTTGCAATTTTTGACACAATTTACAGATAACTTGGCTCGAAATGAGAAAAAGCTGCCGAATACAGAAAAATTGAATAAATGTTTCCCAAATGGTGAAAAACAGGACTTAAATGAAGTAGAGTTTTGTGACCTGGAGAGTTTGTTGCTGCTCTTTTGCGTCCGTGGATCTTTGGACTCGTTCGTGTTCTCAGGCACTTTTCCTCTCACGGATTTTTTACGTTTTTTGAAAAAGGGACAAAACGAAAACGAACGATTCTGTGACGAGACCGAAACCGAAACCAAACAAACACTAATGTAGCGTCGAAATGAAGGAGTCTCACTGTTTATCTGAAGTTTTTCACCAGGTTTTTGTGTTTTTGTTTTTTGTGGTTTTTGAAGTATTTTAGGATTTTGTCTTTTGTATCAACAGGGTCTGAAATAAAAAAGAAATAAAGTTTCAAATCCACGAGTTTTTAATTATTATTAAATACAGGACTAAACCAGGACTAAACCAGGACTAAACCAGGACTAAACCAGGACTAAACCAGGACTAAACCAGGACTAAACCAGGTCTAAACCAGGTCTAAACCAGGACTAAACCAGGACTAAACCAGGTCTAAACCAGGTCTAAACCAGGACTAAACCAGGACTAAACCAGGTCTAAACCAGACTAAACCAGGTCTAAACCAGGTCTAAACCAGGTCTAAACCAGGTCTAAACCAGGGACTAAAACCAGGTCTAAACCAGGTCTAAACCAGGTCTAAACCAGGTCTAAACCAGGACTAAACCAGGACTAAACCAGGACTGAACCAGGACTAAACCAGGTCTAAACCAGGTCTAAACCAGGACTAAACCAGGTCTAAACCAGGACTACTAAACCAGGACTAAACCAGGACTAAACCAGGTCTAAACCAGGTCTAAACCAGGTCTAAACCAGGACTAAACCAGGACTAAACCAGGACTAAACCAGGACTAAACCAGGACTAAACCAGGTCTAAACCAGGTCTAAACCAGGCACTAAACCAGGACTAAACCAGGACTAAACCAGGACTAAACCAGGACTAAACCAGGTCTAAACCAGGACTAAACCAGGACTAAACCAGGACTAAACCAGGACTAAACCAGGACTAAACCAGGACTAAACCAGGACTAAACCAGGTCTAAACCAGGTCTAAACCAGGTCTAAACCAGGACTAAACCAGGACTAAACCAGGACTAAACCAGGACTAAAACCAGGACTAAACCAGGTCTAAACCAGGACTAAACCAGGTCTAAACCAGGTCTAAACCAGGACTAAACCAGGACTAAACCAGGACTAAACCAGGTCTAAACCAGGACTAAACCAGGACTAAACCAGGTCTAAACCAGGACTAAACCAGGTCTAAACCAGGACTAAACCAGGACTAAACCAGGACTAAACCAGGTCTAAACCAGGACTAAACCAGGACTAAACCAGGTCTAAACCAGGACTAAACCGGGTCTAAACCGGGACTGAACCAGGTCTAAACCAGGACTAAACCGGGACTAAACCGGGTCTAAACCGGGACTGAACCAGGTCTAAACCAGGACTAAACCAGGACTAAACCAGGACTAAACCAGGTCTAAACCAGGACTAAACCAGGACTAAACCAGGACTAAACCAGGACTAAACCAGGACTAAACCAGGAAACCAGGTCTAAACCAGGTCTAAACCAGGACTAAACCAGGTCTAAACCAGGACTAAACCAGGACTAAACCAGGTCTGGTTCATAAACAGAACATTTGGGGCGGGAGGTTGGACGTTGTGATGTCACTGGTGTCTGGACCAATCAGGCGCGGGCGGAGGGAGCAGCAGGAAGTGCTCCGGCGACGGTTTGTGTGGTAAATGTTTGATGAGTCTGAGCGTTTTTAAAACAGAATAATCAGGACACGAGAAAAACTGAAACGAGTCGAAACCAAAACCCTCCAGAGACGAGGACGAGATCCGACCTGGAAACAGAAACATCATCTGCACAGACGCTGAAGAGAAGACGAAGGATTCAGAAAGAAGAAGAAAAGAGGAGAGAAAATATAATAAAATAAATATGTAAAATAATAAAAATAATTTAAAAGAAAATGTGGTCAGAGTTCCCACGGTCATGGAAATCCTGGAAAAGTCATGGACTTTTAATCTCTTTTAATTTTAATCCTGGTCCAGACCTGGTTCAGACCTGGTTTAGTCCTGGTTTAGTCCTGGTTTAGTCCTGGTTTAG